TATGGTTTCCTGCTCCTGGTCTAAATAACCTAATTTAACTTGGTTAGAAATAGACACTTTTCCTTCATCGGTTTGGATTATCCCCATAACAATTTTTAGTAAAGTTGATTTTCCGGTGCCATTGACTCCTTTAATAACTAACCTCTCGCTTGGTTTAAGTTCCAAGAATAGATTTTTAAAGAGAACTTGGTCTCCATATGACTTACCAATATTTTGTAGTTGAATTAAAATTTTTTCTGGGTCAAAATTGCTATCGGAGGAAAAATCAATTTCTAGTTTCCGGCGAGACATTAGTGGAATTTCCACTAAATTTTCTACTAAATCAGTTTTTTTAGTTTTTAGTTGGTCGACGATGCGTTTGTGATTTTTTTGGTTTCTTTCCTTGTGAAAATTAAAAGCCATTTTGCAATTATCTCTCCTTTGTGGTTTGTAGGTGGCTTCCTTTACATGTAAATCGCCTAATTTTTTGGCAATGAATTTTATTTCTTTTTCCTGCTGTTCTCGCATTTGTTTTAGGCGTTGATATTGCCTTTCTTTTTCTTGTAAATAATTTCGGTAATTGCCGCGAAAATGGGTTAAGTTGTGAGTTTCAGGAGAAAGTTCCGAAATATAATTAGCAGTTTGGTTAATTAAATAACGGTCGTGGGTTATCATAATTAGAATTCCTTGGTAGCCTTTCAAAAACTTTTCTAATCATTTAATTCCTGTTTCGTCCAAGTGGTTAGTAGGTTCATCTAACAAAAGAACCTCAGGATTTTGAAAGCACAAAGCCGCTAAATGGATTTTTACTTTTTCTCCGCCGCTAAGGGTGGAAAATTTTCTTTCTAAAATGGATGAAGTAAGTTGTAATTGTGATATTATTCTCATTAATCGAAACCCGCCTAAAAAATTAAACTGCTTTTCTCATTCTTTTTCGTTTAACTTTGGTTTATCTTTTTGTAAGTTAATTAATTCAGAGTGGTTAGTTTCGTTGATTAAATGTTCCCAAGCACTGCATAGGGAAAATTTTTCGAATGATTGCGGTAAATAACCAATATTCCCTTCAGTTTTTACTGCACCGTCAAAAGGGTGAACTAGATCTTTCATAATTTTAAACAAGGTTGATTTTCCAACCCCATTTTCTCCTACTATAATTACTTTGTCTCCGGAGAAAACTTGTAACTGTAAATCGCGAAAAATTATTCTTTCTCCGTATGAAAAATTTAAATCATTGATTTCTAATTTTAATTTCTTTGTAATAACTAAAATTTTAAAGATTAATTTTTCCAACTACTACTACAAATGTAAAAATCTTTTTCTAATTTTCTTTGTTTATTCTATTTGGAATTATTAACTTTTAGCAGTCAACTTACACCGCTACTTTTCCCTTAATCGGGGGATAAGGTTCATAATTTTCTAAACTAATATCCTCAAAACGAAAATCAAAAAGCGATTTTATTTCGGAATTAAGTTTCAAAGTTGGTAGTTTTTGGGGCTCTCTTTTTAATTGTGCTTGAACTTGTTTTATATGATTTAAATAAATATGAGCATCGCCAATAATATGAATAAATTCTCCTGGTTTATATCCACAAACTTGGGCTAGCAGGGAAGTTAACAAACTATAACTGGCAATATTAAATGGCACTCCTAAAAACATATCACCGCTTCTTTGATATAATAAGCAAGATAATTCATGGTCGTTAGAAACAAAAAACTGGGCTAATAAGTGGCAGGGAGGCAGAAGCATTTGCTTAATTTCAGCCGGATTTCAAGCGGTTAGAATGTGGCGGCGAGAAAAAGGGTTATTTTTCAAGTTTGCTACTAATTCTTTTAATTGGTCAACTCCCCCAAAATTTCGTCATTGTTTACCGTAAACTGCCCCTAAATTGCCATATTTTTGGGCGAAATTATTGTCCATCCTAATTTTTTCGATAAATTCTTTTAAATTTTCTCCTTGATAATCCGGTGAAGATCTATATTTTTCAAAAGGTCATTCATTTCAAATATTTACTCCGTGGTCGACTAAATATTTAAGATTCGTTTCACCTTTGATAAATCATAATAATTCATAAACAATGGCCTTAAAATTTACTCTTTTAGTGGTCAAGAGTGGAAAGCCTGCTCGGAGGTTAAATCTTGCTTGGCAACCAAATAATGCTTTGGTGCCGGTTCCAGTTCGTTCGGTTCTTATCTCGCCATTTTCTAGGATAGAGTTTAATAAGTTTAAGTATTGTTTCATTTAATTTTTTTTATATTTTCCAATTTTTTCAAAAATCTATAACCTTTTTTATTTATAAAAAAATAACCAAGTGGTTTGACTTAATAATCAGCCTAATGAACCATGATCTCCTCACTACTTTAAGGTTGACGAAAAATTGGAAAAAGAAATTTTAACTAAAATTGTAATAGAAAAGTTAATTAATTTGCCAAATTTAGCCGAATCAGTGAGTAAATTAGCAATAAATTGGAGTTAATATTGGTTGGTTAAGATATATAATAAGACTAAAGAGAGATGGTTATTCAAATTGAGAATAGTTCGCTCTATAATTTTTCAAGGTACTTGATTACTGATTGAGCAGCAATGGCTCCTTCGGCTATGGCAGTCACAATTTGTTTGATTTTATTTTGGTTGATTCGAGCCACATCACCAGCGGCAAATAAACCAGGAACCGAAGTCGAGCAATCTTCCTTGATAGCAATGTATCTTTCTCCATCACAAATGCCTAATTCATGGGTAAAACTGCTAAATGGGGAAAGTCCAATACAAGGGAAAACGGCATGAACCGACAGTTCGCTTTTTTGGTGATCAAGTAGATTACTAATGATAACTTTTTCGACTGTTTCTTTGCCTTGGATTTCAGTTAGGATAGCATTCAAAAGAAAGTTTATTTTAGGATTATGTTCGGCTCTTTCCACAATTGCTTTTTCGGCTCGAAAATTATCTCGGCGGTGAATAAGATAGACTCGACTAGCGATATTACTCATATATAAAGCGGTTTCTAAGGCTGAATAACCTCCTCCTACCACCACTACTTCCTTACCGCGAAAAAGAAATCCGTCGCAAATAGCACAACTGGAAACTCCACGGTTAGTTAATTCTTTTTCTCCTTTAATTCTTAACTTGTTTTCAATTGCTCCCGAAGCAATAATGACTGACTTACTAATCAAATCATTTCCTTCATTAGTTTTAATAATAAAATTCCCTTCCTTTTTTACTAGACTAATAACTTCGGCTTGTTCTCAATTAATTTGGTAAGATTTGGCATGTTCGGTCATTTTTTCAGCTAATTCTGGTCCCTTAATGGAAGTAAAAGCAGGGTAATTATCGACATCCTCAGTTTTATTTAATTTTCCCCCTGACAAATATTTTTCTAAAATTAGACATTTTAAGAGGGCTCGGCGGGCGTAAATGGCTGCGGTCAATCCGGCTGGTCCAGCCCCGATAATAATCAAGTCATAAGACATATATAAAAAAGTTTTACAAGTTTTTGGCTAAAATTAATTATGGTTGCCAAGCGCTTATAGTTCAGTGGATAGAATATTTGATTGCGGTTCAAATGGTCGGAGGTTCGATTCCTCCTAAGCGCGCCAATAATATTTATTTTTTTAGTAATTAAATTATCAGAATAATAATTAAACTATATTATATACTACCATGAATAATTTCAATTTTTATTTTAGGGTTAAAAAAGACAAAAAAGTTAGTTTAAACAAGGGGGGGAATGTGGTGGAAATTGAACTTGATGATTATGGACAGGGCATGCTCTTTTCACCCCAAGAATTTCAAGAAACAAGATTTCAAACTCTAACTTTACCGGTTACTCCCCAAGTGCGAAAGGTCTTGTTAGAAAACGAGATAACTGACAAAAGAATGGTTATTAAGGAAGTTTGAAAAGAACCTACCCTTACGAAGGTTGACGAAAAAAACATAAAACTAACTGCTGACACTTTTGGAGCAGTCGAAATGGTTAATTCTGAAAATGAAAATCCTTTTAGCCCTTTTAAAATAGATTGAGATAATTGATGAGACGGGTATGATGAAAGAAAAAAAACGGGATGAAAAAGTTGAAGAATGTGGTGAAACCCGCGGGACATGAAATTTTGAAATCCGTCCTTGACCTCTGAAGAACAAGAAAAATGTTTGAAGAGTAAATATGATGACTGTCGAACAGCCTGAGAAGTCTATAAAAACCGGTTCAACCAACAAAAACACCAACTCGACCTCTATTTTCAGGTCAACACCACTGATAAGTATCATAGTCAGTCTTCTAATCCAGATCGAAGTATAAGTGATGAATGAGAAATAAGGTTTTTTTGCTGACCGCCTTTTACTCCTCCATCAGTCATTAGCGAACTTATTCCGAATTGAAGTGAGCGAAGAGAAGAATTTACTAACTGTGTAATTGGAGAAATTAATTTAATTTTTGACAATCGAGATGAAAAAAATATGAAACTTTTTCACCAGTGAGATAACTTATTAGCCCAAGTTTCTCCCCAAGAGAAATTTGTTATTCGGAATATTCCGCTTCAAATAAGGGAGACAAGTTTTCGCTCTCTGGATGAATTCCACGACCTTTCTGAATATAATTGACAAAGTTGAAATGAAAAAAGTAAGTTAGAAAACCAACCTCCTCAGCAGAGAGAAAAATGACTATGGCGAAACCACGAAAACAGTGCTAATATAAAGCATTTTGAAATGGCCTTTCAGGGTAAAGTGGTGCAAAGAATGACAATTTATACTAAAAATTTGGAAGAACAATTAAAGTTAGAAAAAGTTTCAGAAGAGGAATACAATAATAAACATAATGATAATTCTCTCCAAGAACTTAATAATTGAAAAAATAAATTAAGGCAATGAATGGAAGAAAATAAGGTCGAAGAAATAATTCTAAAAGAGAAAAACAGTGTGCTTTGTAAAAAATATAATAGTAGTGGTTCATTTTACCTTGGTGGCGAACCGGTTGGTAGTGAGGACATTCCTAAGAGTCTTAGAACCAAAATAAATGGAGTAGATATTGGTTTATTTTTCGAAAAAATTGGAAAAAAATCTATTTCTAGGCAGGAATTAGACCAACCACTAAATATTAATAACTCAAAAAAAAACAACTTTGACTGAACTCCTTGGTTAATAGGTGGCGGAATAACAGTTTTATTAGTTATTTCACTGTCTTTAATAATTAGAAAAAAACGAAAAAAAAAGAATGTCAAGTAATTTAAAAATTTTTGCCTTAGGTGGCTTACATGAAGTTGGAAAAAACTGTTATATTTTGGAAAAAAATGAAGATATAATTATTGTTGATTGTGGAATTAAATTCCTTAATGGCAGTAATTTGGCAGATGGCACGGTTCCTAATTTTTCCTATCTCTTAGCCAACCGAGAAAAAATTAAAGGTTTATTTATTACTCACGGTCACGAGGATCACATTGGTGGCATTCCTTATTTATTAAAGTTAATTCCAAACATTCCGGTTTATGGTTCAGAATTTTCCGCTTCTTTAGTTAAAAATAAGTTGCGAGGGGAAGAATTAAAAAAAAAAGTGGAACTTTTTCATGAGGATAAGCCAATTCGAGTGGGTGAATTTCGAGTCAATTTTTTCCGAGTAACCCATTCCATTCCTGGTTCTTTTGGTTTAGTAGTGGAGGTAATTAAAGATAACTTTCGGATAGTTATTACTGGCGATTTCAAGTTTGACTGAACCGAAATTGGGGAAAAATTTGATTTAGTCAAGTTAGTTGAATGAGGAAAAAAAGGAATTGATTTACTACTTAGCGACTCAACTAATGCCGAAGTAGAGGGAAATACTCCTTCTGAATCAAAAATAGTTAGGAGGCTCGAAAATATCATTGCCGAGGCCACCGGAAGAGTAATTATTACTTCTTTTGCTTCTAATGTTTACCGGCTCAAAAAAGTGATTGAAATTGCGAAAAGAACTGACAAGAAAATTGTGCTACTCGGTTCTTCTTTAGACAAAATGATGATAGTAATTGTAAAAACCAGTTTATGAAAAATAGATAAGTCAATTTTTTTGGGAGGGAAAGACATCGCTAAAACTCCTAATAATAAATTAATTATCTTTTGCACTGGTTCTCAAGGCGAAGAAAGGGCGGTGCTTAGTCGTTTAGCTCACCAAATTTATGAGGGTTGAAAAGTGGAAGCCGGCGATTCAATTATCTTAACTTCTTCTCCCATTATGGATAATAAACTACAAGTAGAAAAAGTTAGTAACAAATTATTTGCTTTAGGAGCCAAAGTATATGAAAATAGCAAAGAAGATCTATTGCATGCTTCCGGACATGCCTGCCAAGAAGATTTAAAATTAATGCTTACCATGGTTAAACCTCGTTATTTTATGCCCTTTCATGGTGATTTTAGAATGCTGAAAAAGCATGGACATTTGGCTCAGGAACTAGGCATACCAGCGAAAAATATTTTTGTTTGTAGTAATGGGGAAGTGGTGGAAGCCAAGGGCAAAGAGTTTTTTTTAAGCAAAAAAACTTTTCCCGCCCAGCCAAATTATGTGCTTAACGGTCGGTTACTTCCGATGGAAGAATTAAGTAACAATCTAACTTTACGGGAAAAAATGTCCCAAGGAGGTTTTTTGCTAGTGGTAATTTTTTATGATAAAAAAAAGAAGAAACTGGCTACTTCTCCTTATATTTTCACCTATGGTTTTATTAATATGAAAAAAAATGAACATTTAATTAATGATTGAAAATTAAAGATTTCTGGACTAATAATGAACAAAAACCATCAACAAAAAGAACCAAATTGGGGTGAGGAAGTTAGAAATTATATGGAAGAAGAGTTATTGAAAAATTGAAGTAAGGAAAAACCTCTGATTCATACCTTAGTAGAATATAGATAAAGAAAGCAAGAGTGCCATGTTTTAATAAATTAGGTGTAGTTGTAAGAAACTAATATTATATAAAATAAATTAAGGAGAGTTAACAAAGCCAGAATTATTTGGTAAAGGTAAATATTTATTCTCCTTGTTAGTTAGAAAATTAAAAAAAGAAAAAGCAGTAAGGAAATTGACACGGATTAAATAAGAACATTAATAAATAATATAATATATAAACAATATGGTAACAGTAATAAAAAATGACAACATAGGAAATATAACAATTGATGGAACTGAAACAAATATTAGCAAACAAAATGATAAATATAAGGATCATAAAACTTCCAAAAAATTTGCGGAGTTAACAGGTTATTTTCGAAGTAGAATAAACCCCAAAACTGGTAAATATTATACTACTGAGGAATATCAAAAAGAAATTGCTAAAAATAAAAATCTTAATCCAAACATTTGAGCCGAAATTGAGCGAGGACTTAAAGAACCAATACTGGGAGATATAGTGGACTGAAAATGTAATAAAACTACATTATGAAATGAGGCTACTGCGGAAAGAATGGCAGAAATTATTAAGAACAATGATGAGTGATTTCAAACAAACCTTTCGTGGATTGAGAAAATGGTAACTAATATGGAACAACTTAAAGGTCAATTAGAGGCGACTGGTAATGAGTATGAGAAAGATTATAATGACCCTAATAAAGGTAAAAGTCAAGAGGAGTTAAAACGTCGTGCCCAAGAAATTGAAAACCATCGTCAGCAAGTCAAGCGTGAAATCGAAAGTGCCCTTAATCAAAGTCCCCCAATAACAAGTGAGGAATTGTCAGCAAATAATCGGAATTGACAAGAACAAATTTGAAATACGATAATTGCCACCGGAGAAAAAGAAATTGATGCTATTAAGTCTCGAGTGTTGAGCGATATCACGGCTAAAAGAAATGCTAAAAATAATGAACAACCTAAGGACAACGATAAATTAGCAATTTTCAAAAGAGATGCCATTGGTGAAATTGATACCAAAAAAAATGCTGCTGGTCTGCTTAATGAAAGTGATTTAGATACCGTTAACCATGGTTGACGACAAGACATCTTGGCGGCGGATAGTGAAAATAAAATTAACCTCATTAAAGCCCGGGTATTAGCCGATATTCGCAACCGCGAAAGCAAAAAAAACCCACAAAAAGACCAGGTAAAAAAAGACCAAGACCTAGCCAAGTCTAAAAAGTTAGCCAATGCCACTAAGGAACAGATAGATGAAATGGAAGATAAAAAATTAGAGGAATCCATGGCACTTTTCACTCGCTGAGAGGGAGAAGTTAATTTAACTAATACTGAAACAACTGCTCAAATAGAAGAGAGGTTAATGAAAGAGAAACCAGAGTTATATCGTGACACTATTGTTGGTGCTCTGATAGAAAGAATGAGTGATTATAGGATTAGTCCAAGTCAATTAGATGAAGAAACCAGAAAATTAATTCGGGGTGAAATTACCGATGTTAATAAAATTAAAGAAATTAAAGATAAAGCCATCAAAGAAATTGGCTCAGCAGGTGCTAAAGCTAAATGAAGTTCCTTGATGAATCAAGCCAAACTTCTTTTAGATAAAGCCAAAAACAAAATTACTGAGCAAATAAAAAAAGACCTAAAAGAAGTTCAAAGTCAGTTAAAAAATTTCAAATCCGGAACTAATTCTTATCTAGCCTCAACCTTTAAAAAAAACAAGGATGAAGGGGAAAAGTTAGAAAAACAACTAAATAGTTGTTTAAACAACCAAGAAATTGGTTCACCGAAAGGAACCCCATGAGGAATAATTATTCCGGTTTCCTTGCTAGCAGTAGTAGCGATAGTGGCGGCAGTAGTAGTGATAAGAAAAAGAAAACAACCTAGGAGGATAAAAAAATAGTTAAATCAAATATATTGGTGGGAGTTATCATTACTCCCCCTAATATCTATTCTAGTAACATTGACATTTAGAGTTAACATAAATTATATTAGACTAGGCATTAGGATATAAATGAAAAGGAAAAACCAACTCGAAAGTCATAATAAGGTTATTCTTTCTGAAAATACTAATTATGTTCAAAACCAAGCATTAACTTACTTTGCAAAAGATAATTTTTGAACAGTTGATTTTCCCACAACTGCCTCGGCTCAATTTTTAGTTGATTTTTGTCCTAGTCAGAATGCTTTTGTAATTAAATTATTAGCGGCAGAGAAAAAAATATTGTTAGGAAAAACTGTGTTAGATGAGTTTGCCTGTGGCGGTACTGGTCTTTATGCTGCCACTGGCTCAATTTTTAACCCTTATAATCTTGCTTGTATTGTAGGTGGTTCTTCCTCCGGCTCAGTTTGAGTAGTAGCCAAAAATTTAGTTCCTTTTGCTTTAGGTCATGATACCGGCGATTCAATTCGTCGTCCAGCCTCCTATTGTGGAATAGTAGGGTTTAAACCTTCTTATGGGTTAATTTCTCGAGCCGGAGTCATTCCGATGGCTTCTTCTTTAGACACGGTTGGAATTGTGGCTCAAAAAACCTCTGAGGTTAAAGCGGTATTCAAAATTATTTCCCACCAGGATCCTCATGACCTTTTAACTGAAACAAACCGAAGTAGAAAATTAGTTCCCCCAAAAAATAAAATAGCAGTGGTGACCGGAATAGAAAACTATTTACCAACTGAATTAAGTAATTTGTATCATCATACTATTAAAAGGTTAGAAAGGCTAGGATATGTGGTTGAAAAAATAACTATCCCCAAAAAAATACGGGAACATCTTCAAATTACTTATCTCATTCTTTGTTCGAGTGAATTAGTTAGTCATCTTAATTCGCTCCAAGGAGTAACTTATGGAGTTAAAGATAAAATTAGTATTACTCAAAAAAGAAGTAAATATTTAGGAGAAATTGTGAAACAACGTTTATTAATTGGAGCCTATTTTTTAGAAAAACAAGAATTATTTATCAAAGCCCAAAAAATGCGCTATTTAGTAGATAAATGAGTGAAAAAAGTTTTTCAAAATTATGATTTTTTAGTCTTTCCAAGCACTAATAATACTGCTCCACCGGCCGTTAATTTTAATCATTCATTCTCCGGTTTAATTTCTTCTCATTGGAGCGATAACTTATTACTTTTAGCTAACTTTTCTGGCTTGCCTTCATTGAGTTTGCCTATTGGTTTTATAAATGATTTGCCAGTAAGTATCAATCTAAATAGTAGTTATGGAAAGGATAAAGAAGTTTTAGAATTGGCTGAGAGGTTGGAGAAGGAATAAATAATTCTTTTTCTTTGTGCCCTAATGGCACAAGAATATTTGCTGAATAGATCGTTTTTCATGACTTAATATATTCTTGTTGAGTATTTTTTGACCTTGATACTCTTTTCTAGTTCTTTAAAATCTCTATATGAAAGGGATGGAGGAAAACCAAAAAAAAATTAATCCGAACAAAATCCGTAATTTTTCAATTATCGCTCATATCGACCATGGTAAATCGACCTTGGCAGACCGTTTATTGGAAAAAACTAACTTAAAAAATAGCAGTAAGTCATTAGAAAGAGTGTTGGATAGTCTTTCCTTAGAACAGGAAAAAGGAATTACTATCAAGTTAAATGCCGTGCAATTATATTATCCACCGGAAAGTCCCGAACCTTACATTTTTAATTTAATTGACACCCCCGGACATGTGGATTTTATGTATGAAGTTTCCCGTTCCTTGGCCGCTTGTGAAGGAGTAATATTGTTGGTAGATGCGGTAAAAGGCATTCAAGCCCAAACCCTTGCTTATTACGAAATTGCTAAAAATCTTAATTTGAAAATTTTACCAGTAATTAATAAAATTGATTTACCTCACGCTCAATTGGAAACCACCAAGAACCAACTGATCGAACTACTTAATTGCCAAGAGAGTGATATTTGTCTAATTTCGGCTAAAACTGGAAAAAATATTGATTTATTGCTGGAAAAAATTATTACTGATTTTCCGCCCCCTACCAAAGATAAAAATGTTAACTCCTAAAAATATTTCATTATGGATAAGTTAGAAATTTTTAATTTATTTCTCTTACTAGAAACTTTAGAGGAATATATTGAAAAGACTGGTTTATTTCCTAATTTTAAGAGACAATTTCGAAATATAACTATTCCCAAAGAAAAAAAATACTCTGTTAGTAATTGTGAAAATTTGTTTCGAACTAAACTATTAATTTTTTTAGGGGTGCTTAGTGATGACACGCCTGATGATACTAGAAAGGAAGTTAAGGAGGAGTTTTGAAAATGAATAGATAGTGTAGGAATTAATGCTAATAATTGCCCTGATGAAAAATTAAAACACTTTTTATTAGAAATTGAGGACATATTAGAAAAACAAAGTGATAAAATTTACAACGAAATGAAAGCCTATTTATGAAGAAAAAGGAAAGAATCTGCTGACCCAAA